CAGCTCAGGGTAGTTTCAGTCATCTCAAAGCTGATATCTTTAACAGGTATCTAAACACAAAGTGTGACTTCATGTATGCATCAAATGTGTCTCCATGTCATGACAGACAAAAGAATATGAAACACTGACGTGTCCTTTTGACTACTTTGAGCCACACACAGAGCAAAGATGTTCAGTCAAGGAAATCATGCTAAACCCAGTGCAAAGCTAAAACTCCAGACTTCACGTATGGCAGACAAAAATGCCAACATGACCTGCTTTGATCTAGTGATCCTTCCCCATTGGATTGCATTACTTATTAATGTAAATTTAGTCCATAACTTCTGGTACTTTACATTCAAATTCCTACCCTTAATGAGTTTTATATAACTATAACAAGGACTGCTCCACACTAAAATTCTTTCTATCCACAAATTATCCTCCCCCCTAGCTTCCCCAAATCACTTGTTTAACATATCAGATCCACTTTAGAATTTATCTCTGAAAGAATGCGTCTCTTGATTTTTCGTGGCAACAGGCACTAAACACCTTACAATCCTCTGAATGCCAATGTTATATGTCAATAATGTTTACCTCAATGTATCTTCACTGATCCAAGTTGGTTTTGATCAGTCTCACCCTTCAGTGTGTTCTAGGAGATATATCCATTTGTTATACTACCTGGTAGTGCAGTGAATTAATTCCTTAATTTTGACACAACATCCTTGACAGCAGATCCCTTCTATGTGGGGGAATAAGAGAACCTGGGCAGCAGGATCCAGTGCAGTACACTGCAGAGGAATATTTTCCCCAGTTTAGACGGCTTTAGAAATCTAAACTTTTATTTCCTTGCTCTATTAAATCTCCTACAACCATCAGGCTGAATTTGCTGTGTCTGTATACTTCTCCCTAATCTTCTTTGACACGATTCTCTTTCTCTTCCTATCTATTCAATGTTATTCGCCCATCCTTGCTCATATTGTCACCAACAGGTGGGCAAATCAAGTAAGCCTAAGAAACATGTTCAGTGTAGCAGAAAACAAAAGCATCCACATCAAAAAAAGAAAAGGAGAAAAGAAAAAAATGTACATTGATTCACAGTTTCATAAATGCACTCAGCCTTTAGCTGAAATTTCATGAGGTAAATGGCCCAAATCAGGCTACAAAGACATTTGAAAATGCATATATATCTTAGGGCTCTATATGGTATTTGGCTTTAGAACAATTATTGGAGAATTCAATTAATTTTGCAGAGTACTTTATGCTGATCTGTACATGTCATAAAAGAGAACTTCAGGCAAAAATAGTGCTGTCTTTTGGCATGAACATTGCAAAGCAAAGCAACTCCTGGGACACTCTCTATTGCTAGCATTTCCTGTAGGCAGCTTGGGAGATTGGAGAGCAGGCAAAGGAGGGACGGAGTGTGCTGTTAGCACTGAACACCTTTCAGCTTCACAATTACCTTCGGTAATGACTCTTGAGTAGCCATTTTGGGGGGGTGGATCCTTCAGCATAAAGGCAATTTGTGAGTGGTCAGTCTGAAGAAACAAAAAACTGTGTGAGTGCATTCACAAGTCAAAACCATCAAGGCTTTACAATTCAATATTGCAATTTTCTGTATTAGACAAAGTAAAACAACTTTATATAAAATTCCTTTCTGTATGACCTCAGACAAAGGTCATACGGTTCTATTAAAATAATCTGAAGAGAGAGACAACCTAACTGATATTTCTAAATTACGTTGGTTTGTTCCAGTGAATGCAGTGAAGGAGCAGGGGGTTTGGATCTCAGGTTAAAGATATTCTTAAACCTCACTTGTACCCACTGAGTAGAATATAGAGAAGTCCAAGAGCATCAGTAAATCTGCCCAATGGATAAGAGCCTTAACAAGTCCATTCTTCAGCTGGAGGAAACCATGTCAAAGCAAACCACCAGAACCCAATAATGTCCCTCTTTAAAAAAAAATAACTGCTTGCTTTTCATAAAAAGCAAACCTACAAGGCATTAGTGAGAAGTCTGACTCCATGTTTTTGTGTCTTTCTATAAGCCGTCTTCATTTCAATGTGAGGAGGCATGAGAAAGGAACACTTTGCTCCACAGTTATAAGCATCCCTGATATATGTCTCTTTCCACTTAAGGAATCCATTTTGGGAAGGATACAGTTGTCTAAATATTAGTGTCTAATGATTTTTGAGATACCCCAGGGAAGTAAATATGTATATGTAAGGCTGACAGATACCACACAGGACTTAAAAGGGACTTGTACCCTTCAGTAACAACAGCTGGGAGCCAGGAAGCATAGCCTACATCATCTCACGAGCAAGAGGTTATTCATACGTGACTCAAGTGCATAGAGCTATCAAGGTATTTATAGATAGCCTGACTCTGTCAGAGACACAGAGCATAATGACAGATCTGATGAGTAGATTTGAAGGACAGTAAGCATGAAATTAGCCCAAAGAAGGAATTTCCTTCCCATCCTTCCTTCTCCTTCATCATTGGGCTGTTGGCACTGTTAAATTCTGTTGATATTTAATAAAAGCTAGCATCTGTGCCTTGCTTGCCTCCAATTACAGAGCTTCATCCTAGGGCTACTTCGGAGCTTCTTGCAGACACTGATGCTTGAAGCACAGCTATAACAAAAGAATGGACTGACAGATTTTTTCTGCCTCTAGCTACTTCTTTGTTCTTTTTGATTTCATTTGCCTCGGTTTTGTTTTTGGTTGGCCACCCTAAATGACCAGCCTGCAGCAATGGCACCCCTGTAGGAGACCATTTGATCAATACTCTCTCTATGCAAGGCCTTCTAGGAACAGAAAATATTAGTGAAGGATGCTTCCATGCCCCAGTTACGTGCAAACACACATCACCACTGCTACAGCACTGTCACAGTTTCTGAACTGACTAGAGAGAATAACAGGGATTCTTTGTGTATAAGCCATGACAGATAATGTGAAAGTACAGTTTATAATTGTTAACAGCGAACTTCATATATGAAGGTTATTTCAGAATTTCCCTATAAAGCTACTTTAGGGATAAAATTCACTTCAGATCATGGTCAGCATCTGTCAGCGAGAAGAAAAAGCTGGAGAAAAAAAACTATTCAATTTTATCCTTACATATCTCACTAAGAGTTTTCTTGGATAGCTAGATGACTAAGAATAACTGGTTTAAAACTTCATATTTATAAAGTAGACAATATGAAATAAGAAAATAGAGGAAGGAAGAGAAAATGTAAAAGGCAAATAACAGTTCAACTGAAATCTGAGTTTTATTGAACCAGGCGTGCCTTCACTATCTTGCACTTGCTACTTACTTAAAGTCAAATGTTACTTGAGTTTTCAGGCTCTAAATATTCCAGTTTTTCTGCAGTGATTATGTTGGCCTTTCTTGAGTCATCAACTGCTAGTGCTGATCATTTGTCTAGACCATCAGTAAGTCAGCTATCATGTAAACCACATATTTAGGCCTATTTTCCTACATAATCAATTATACCTATGACATAGAAATTCTTAAAACTGTCGTACATTAAAGGAATCAATATATGTGTCTATTTCTACAACTTTTCTGTGCAATTTGTTAACATACCTATATACTACAGATACTATGTATTTCTTGTAGACATTACATGGGAAATATTAAAATTGGTGTTAACTAAAGTGCAGTTTGGTAGATAAGTTCCTGAAGTTATCTTGAACTGCACTAACACAAACTAAAGAATTTTGTTCTCTCCATTTTTTTCTGTACTATCCAAGATATGATTTTCATAATGCTGTGAAAATTCACATTTTAAAAACAAGGCCTTTCAAAGGTACCCAGGCAGAAAAATAGTGATACATTTGGCAACTCTGAAATTCTTGAATTTGAGTTCTCTTCTATAATCTGGCATGTACAATATCAAGGAGCACTATTGATCCAGCTCAGAAATGTATGTATAATTTTCTGTGCAATCTTACAGATAACTGTTTTTTTTTTTTTCTGCTGTACTGCAAAATGTTACTTTGGGGAGATGTTTGATATTCTCATCACACTAGTCAAAGTCAAGTTTAACACAAGGTATTGCAAGAAAGAGAAATAGGCTACTTGCATGCCAAGAATTCAGGTTGAAACCAACACTCTCTTAAACACAGTAGATTTTTCCTCCTTTCCCCTAAGGACCTCCAGGTTATTCAGCAAATGGAGCTGAACCACTCTACCATTTTTCAGTCAGTGTGAAACAGGCCCTAAATGGAAAAGTAGTCTGACTGTGACACACAACTTCAGACACTGATTCATCATCCAGCTCAATGAAATGCTTTACTGGAGAGAACTGAGGAAGTAACTTTCTTTTCATATTCATATCCTCAATTAATTACAGATTCAGTCTCACTACTAAAAAAACCATAATATACAATCACTACTGATGAGCACTGGGTCAAAGAAAAGCTGAGCACACTCTACATTTGTATTATTCTCTTTAATTGAACTTCCTTCTTAATAGCAACAAATAAAATCTCCTTTCTCCGCTCATAAAAAACATATATGTCTGCATCTTCAAACTCTAGTTAGACTCAGAACTACATAAGTAGGTCTACTTTTTATAAATATGAAGTTGATCATAAGATAATTGGGGGGGGAATGCAAAGACTATGAATCCTTGAAAGAATGACTCTAGAAGCGGGTCCATCACAGCAGCAGCTCTCCAGGATCGAGTGGAGTGGAAAAACACCGACTACTTGCATTTTTATTTTACATTTTTCCCCTGAATTATGTAATTCCCCTTACCCATGCGGTCCCCCTGTGCAGTGCCTTGTTGTCTCCCCTCCCTGAACCAGTCCCCGCCCCTGCACAAGCATTATTGGTTGTCTCATCCTCTTCTCCCCAATCCTGGTTTGTTACTGGACTTTGGTCCTCCTGTATCCCCCATTGGTTAGCAGAGCCCTCAAGCCACTCCCTTTCCCCCAGACTTTTGCCCAATCGTGTTCCTTTTTCTAAGCCCTCCCCCTGGAGACCTTAAAAGCCCACGGGAGTTTCAAATAAACCACTTTTAGCCACTGGAATCCAGAGAAGGAACTTCGTGGCTCTTTTCTCCTAGTGAAGGGGGGTCATGCCACTGAAACTTTCTCTGAGAACCTGCGAGCAAGGAGTCGCTAGCAATCAGCTCTGTTAATAATTTATATATCTTTGTGAGTAATTAGTATAGCTTTTATGACCTAGACCGCCTCTTATGAAAATCATAACTATAGAATACCTGTAAAGAACCAATAGGGACTTCTTGTCACTATTTTAAATTGCAACAGGGAGTCATTAATTTTTACTCTTTTTAAACCAGGAATCTTTCTTTAGAAAATATGGCTTCTTCCTAATATACAGAATAAGCTGGACTCAGAAAACCTTTTTTATATCTAAAATGTCAGAAGGTAAGTCCATTTCTTTGAATACTTGTAAGGCTAGAAATTAGAGCTCTATGCTACTGGAAAGAATCAGTTTCCCAGTTTCTAATTGTGGAGTATCCCAAGGTACTGGATGTTAATGTCATGACATTTTAGATATAGAGAAACTCTTTTAAGCTATATTTAGAGATTTCAAAGGCTCCTTCTGAAACTTTCATACAATTGGACCTACAGTAAACAGGGAATCTAACTTTATATTAACACTACAAGAGATAATCCATAAACATACTTTAATGCTTTGAAATGCACCTATGTGACATGTACAGAAAATATGATATGATTATACATTAAAGGTTTTCCCACCATAAATATAGGTCATTCAGAACAAACACAACTGACAGCAAAGACTTTGTGAAAAGGTAGCCTAAAGTGAAAAATTTTGGTCCAGGCTCAGAGTTCTAAAGAAGTCAGCCTTTTTATTTATGCAGTTAGTTAGTTAAGTCCACAGAGCCAATATTTGTCTTTAAAGTTGCAGCTTTTTTTCATAGCAAAGAAGAGACTATAAAATGGCATTTGCCATCACCCTCCATCAATCTTTCTTGGTCCTTCCTTCAGCACCAGAGGTTACAGACACACACACACGCAAAAAAAAACGATTGATGAGGGAACATGGAAATTCACATAATTTTTTTATTGTTTCTTCTGCTGTTTAGTTATGTATTTATTCAACAGTATATCTTAAACTGTAAGGAGAAATATACATGCTTTTAGAAGGTGGATAGGCAAGACTCTTGAACACTTTCATGTATAAATTTATTTTTAAAGGCCACTAGTGTTTGATTTTATTTGATAGATAGTCTTCATCATCCTCACCTAACTTATGTAATACCTCTCACCTAGTTATAAAATAATTCCAAGCCACAAACATTGAAATTTAGCCAAATAAAAAAAGTCTAATAGTTAATTTGATTCCAACCTTTCGTAAGGGGATTACATTGACATCAGATTCTCCTGTATTCATCTCCTTATTCCTATGGGACAATCATTTATTCATTTGTCAGACCAGATAGAAACAAATATAATCCTATGCATTTCCCTTAGGCTAATATTATTTCTATGTGATAAATTCTCACCACAAAATATTTGCTCTTAACTTGGTATGCATGGTTCTTTAAAGAATAAACAGTGATCAAATATACCTCTGTTACTGCAGTAAAATCCTGTGCATAGCAGCAGTGCTTTACAGGTGCAATGAAGAGAATTTTCATTAGTTTGAAAGAAAATAGCAAGCATGCCTTTTTTTCTTTCGTTTCCCCTACAAATATTATAGGGTCATCAATATGCAAGCCTATCATAAGATACTTGGTAGATTATCCATGTTATTATTCAGCAGAATGCCTAAAATTTAGGAAGCAGACCTCCCAACATGTCAGCAATTTAGAGATTGTCTTACAAAGCACTGTAAAAATAGGTGTTCACACACAGTCAGTTTTCCCATAAATGAGGTTAATTTGTGTTAGCAAACTGTCAAAGAACCTGTCATATTCTATTGTCTTTCCAAGTACAAAAAAGTTAAACAGATTATGAGACTGAAATAATACCCCAAAGGAATCCCAGATAATGAAGAAAATCAGCTGGTTTATAGCTTCTTATTTTGAAATTATACTTACATCTGATTCGAAGGAGTAATTTTTTCCTGATTGTGCATATTGAAGAACACTCTTCTGGATTTCTATTTTCATAATGCTTTCTTTAAAATTTCTGTAATAATAGCAATAGTTCTGGAGAACTATTTGACCTTGTACAAGGGCAGTGTCAAATATTTCACTCCATTATAAACTTGAATAAGTAATTTGATGGTTTTTATTCCCTGCATTTTTAATGAAACAAAAGATAAAATTTCACATTTTTGTGAAAACAACTACATGGTACAATTAGTAATAAGTGTTAATTAAACACAAATTTTAGAACCATAGAAAGAACAACAACGTGTACTGGAAGTGTTCAAGAAAGAATCTATATGTGTTGTAGCTACCACAGGGCTAATACAATTATTGATAATAGTTTTGTGATTTTAGAAGTTTAAAGTATAGACTGTACTTTTAAGAAATTTTAGGAGAAGTTAGCAATGCAAAGACATATTTGGAGTAATTCTAAAGAAATAGGAACCAAAACTAACCTGACACATTAACAAAGGGGAAACAGCTAAAAAAAAGCTTAAGGCCCAAATTCACAATTCACTAGGAAATGCCATACTTAGTGTGATAACATGAAATTCTAAATATGAGACAAATTCTGGCCTCACACTGGTTTCAGCATGGTTTTCAGAATAATTGCTTTGATTTTCTAGGACTTCAGTGAGCACAGAAACACACAGCACATGGTGAAGTACATACCTGTTCTCTTGAAGGTTAATAAAACCATTCAGTGCATATGTTAAATTTCATATCTATGTTACCTTTTGGCAGATATATATATTATCACAAGTATAAGAAATTGAAGTTTTACCTACTTTTTTCTTTCCCCTTTTTTTTACAAAAAAAAATATTATCCAGTTAAATGCTTGATGGGAATCTAGCACACTGTATAAATAAGTGAATACTTTTCTACTAAAATACTTCAAAATTGCTTCTTTATAAGAAATATCTGAACACAGCAAGTGCATGCTAAAATCATACTGTATTGCTTTTATATCACTGAAAGCAAACAGCTATCTTTATTGTAAAGGTAATGAATCCAAGTAATGAGTCTGTAATACATGGGAGGAGAGACAGCAGAAAATAACACTGAATTCAGCTGGGTTACCACAGGGAAGAAATTGTCTTATAGTGCCTTTAAACTACATTTCTCTCTGATAGCTGCATTACCCAATACTTTAGTTTAGTTCTAGTTTTACAAAAAGACATTTGAAAAGTTTAATAAGAGTGCAGTGTCCTTTCAAGACCAAGTCTTCTAGCATATCAAGCACCAGAAAAATCTTCAAAAATCACAGTGTCTACTGGTTAGCATTCATTAGAGTGACATTTACAATTTCACATGCCCAGGCCTGATTCTTATAATTTCCTATGACGTTCAAGTACCTTGAACTCTTATTGATTACAAGCCATTCAGCATTTTTCAAGAATCAAACAGAGACATGAACATGAAATCAGACGAACTATTTGTCTAGACAATGACATTAAAGCAGTGCAAACTGTGAATTTGAAATATTTTAGTCATATCTGGAAAACTTCCGCATTTAGAATTTTTCTGAATAAAGTGTGTATATACACATGCATACAGGCACATTCAAATAGAAATCTCCAAGTAGTTTAGAACTGGATTAGGATCATCCTCGGAATAAGAGACTAGATATAAGCCTTTATATTGGTCTGATTCAGCTTACTTGGCCACTGCTATCAGAGCAATAGATCTAAAAAATCTTCAGTGAAAAGAGATCTTTATGATGCAGCAATATTTCTGGAATATTTCTAAATGGTGGAGATGTCAGAAGAAAAAAAATGCAATGTATTATTCCTTCAGTGTGATTACTGTTGAAAAATATAGCCTCTGAATTGAAGTTTTAAGACTTTGATTTGAAAATACAAAATATTTAGCAGATGAACAAATTCAAATGTGTCTGTTATTGAAATTATATTGGGACATATCATTTACCTTTTCCAGTCATTTCATCTACTGAAAAAAAGTAGAAGTGAATGCATCCCTCCCTGTGTACCTAAATGCTGTCCACAAACTCAGACTCATACTCTAGAAAATATTTTCTCTAAAGTACTTTCGTTTTCATTCATTGCACTAAACACAAAAGCAAAAGTATTTTAAATCCCCATTTTTTGTTTTCCTTCTTTTTTGTTTCACAAACTGCTAATTAGAAAAAAATATTTCAGACAAATGATTAACTCGTATCTGCTTTGACACTTGAAAGGTTACAGCAATAGGAAAAGGAAGAGCTTTAATTAAAGAATGAATTATTGACTACTTCATTTTAATTGATGTAGCCTTCTGCTATTATTTTTTGTGTTTATAGATATTTTATGTGATTCTGTAATCAAGATCACACACAAAAACAAGTCTTTAACTACTGAGTTTAAAGAATGAAGGGCTGCTGTATGATCACATTCAGCCATTTAAGTTCAAGAATCATGTGAAGTGCAGTTTCCATGACAACAAGTCACTAATTGCTAACAGAAAATAAAGTAAAAATCAACCTTGACAGAATTTGGCAGTGACATGGAAGCTGAAAAACCTTCAAAACAATTATACGACAATTTTCATGTATGATGAAGAAACACAAGCGACCCCACCTTCTGAGACATGGTGGAAGCACTCAGAGTTCCAGGGTTATTTTGGATTTGGCAAAGCTGGCTGCATACAGTAGTCATTGTGCATAACACTTGATAGTCAACACCTACCTTCAGTAACAGATAAGAAGAGATGTTTGTGATGAGGTGATGAAGGATTTTTGCATCCTTGGGCTACAGATCAGCAAAGGAAAATGCTGTGGAGAATGCATGAAGTAAAGAATGACACAAATAACAAGATTTTAGCATAAATTCACAGGGTAAGAAGAAAAACAAATTAAAGGAGAGCTGAGAGAGAAGAAAAGAGCCATACTCATACATGCCTCTCATGCTAACTTATTAGTGAGCGTTTCAGACACCTCTAGGTTGCAGACAGAAATAGTCTTTTGAGACTAGGGAAAACTACTTGAGAAGCACAATGGTGCCATTCAAAATTTACCAATTTATGAACTGCTGCATATCATTTGTAAAAATTGCTTCAGCCTGAGTTACCTTTCACCAGCTCCGTAAGTCGACTCACTGGGTCACTAGGAGTGAACAAGAACATTTTGATAAATTCAGTTTCCATGACAATGAATTAGCCATGGAAAAGGGGGAGGTGTTGAAAGATCTGTGTTCTGTAGAATACTCTTCAAGTGTTTGCCTGTTTTCATTTTTAGCCATTTAGTTCTCATGGCTCCGTTCCAGGACTCTTTAATTCACCAGTAGCTGTTTTTCCTCCACAGATTAGAGAAGAAATTCATCAGTGAATGTTTCACTCAGTGGCCCCATCTAATGTAAGAGAATATAAAAATGAATTTTTCCAATTATGCTTTTTTGTTTGTTTAGAAAGAATGCATCAGTCTCTTGTTGTTGTTCCACTCTAACCTGACTACAGAATACTTAATCTTTCTTATTTATTGCCCACTATTGTACTTAGGAGTACAACTGTAACTTGCAATTCATTGGGAGTTCATTTTAAATACCCTTGAGCCCCAAAAACAAAACAAAACAATGATTTGGTGCTTTCTTCAAAAGAAACAAGACGATTAAAGTATGCCATATTCCAAAGCCTGCTATAGCCTACATCAATGGGAACGGCTGAGAAAAAGACCTCAAAAACAACTGGCATTTATTTCTGATAGAACTACTTAATGTTATTTTTCATTTGTCTGCCTTTTGAAAGGTTAAGCCAGTGGGATATTTGCTAGAGTCAGAACTGAAGTCTGCTCAAATTTGGGAATGTCTTTCTGCCATTTTCAGTGGGTCTGGTGTGAGAACCTTATACTAATAAGATTAAGAGTGAAGTTGTTTAACCATTCACAAAAGATACTTATAATTCAGAATAAAAAGTAGCAGGAGATCAGGAAAGCTGTTTCCACTGGCTATTGGGATAGATCATTTTCCATCCCAAGGCAATTGAGACAAATTTGACTCCTTCAGAAAGTAAACCTGTTCTTAGTACCTCCAGCAATATGCTCCCCATTGCCATAAATAAAAATTGAAAGGACTGAACACCTTGTTTCTGCTGTCTGTCTGCTGAACAGCATCATTTCATGTGCTGCACAAGAAATGGAAGGGGGTTTCAACAAGTTATTAAGGTCTGTGACAGCCAAGCACTGGCTAAAGTGTCTGAATGATTTGCAAAAGAAAGAAAACGCTACTAGCAGGAAATAAAAAAAAAAAAAAGAAGGGGGAAAAATAGGGAAGAAAAGTAGAGAGAAGGAGAGTAGAGAGGTCCACAGGAAGAGGGAAGGGAGACTGAAATTTAGAGGGGCAGAGGAGGAGGGGAGAGGGAAGGGGCTAAAGAGGGGGGGTGAGCAGGGGAAGAGACAAGAGAATGCAGGGGAGGAGAAGAGGAAGGAGATGATGAAAAAGAGGAAGAGACAGGGTGAGAGAGAGACAGAAAAGGAAAGGAGATATCGCCTTTGTACATACCTCTGCAAATCTCTTTTATGTGTATGTCAGTAAGAAACCAATTTCTATTCACTAATGTATACATATATGATATTTGAATAGCTGGTTTAGTTTATCTTTCCACCGGTAATTCACACGCACAGGAATATTCACAAATAACTATATTTTCACTCACAGCCATTAACTTATGGTCTCAAAGAGAGAGAGGAAAGGTTATTAATGGGCCACAAAGATGATCTGAGGGACGGGGCACTTCTCCTATGAAAACAGGCTAAGTGAGCTGGAGTTGTTCAGCTCAGGAAAGAGCAGGCTTCAGAGACCTTACCACAGCTTTCCAGCCATCTTCTGGGGGCTTATAAAAAGTAGGGAGAAGGACTTTTTATATAGACAAATACTGACAGGACAAGGGTAAATGGTTTTTAACTGAAAGAGAACAGGTTTAGAACAGATGTTAGGAGGAAATTCTTTACTCAGAGGGTGGTGATGCACTACAACAGGTTGCCCAGAGAATCTGTGGATACCCCATCCCTGGAAACATTCAAGGCCAGGTTGGATGGGACCCTGAGCAGCCTGGTCTAATGAGCAACATCACTGCCCATGGCAGGGGGTTTGGAACTAGATGATCTTTACAGCTCTTTCCAACCCAAGCCTTTCTATGATTTAAAACTGTATTGCATGTGAGGCATCCATTCCACCCTAAAAAACTTCTAATTGAAAAGGTACGACAATTTTTCAAAATGCAAATGCCATTAATACTAGACTTTTGAAAATATTGCAGGGTGGAGATCAAAGTCATTGTTTTAGCCAGTGAGACTTAATTGTTCTGAAGCAGCCCCTCACAGAAGAAAAATAAAAAGAAAAATGAATCCGGGTTGATTGATACTCAGGAAATCAGTAGCCTTGAGTCTCTCAGTCTTTATTTAAAATAGCAGGGGCAGTTGCCATCAGGCACTGGAGTGTATATGGACAAGAACAAACCTAACGACTTCTTTGGTATATCTACCATGTAGAACTGTTTCAACATTCTTAATTCAGATGTGAATGAGGTGTGTTAATAGCTCCACACTTCCACTCCTGGAGCCGAGGAATGCGTGCAGGTAGCATGCGTTCAGGTCCCATTGATATTAATGGTGAGAAATCACTCAGCCAGCTGTTTTCAGTGAAGCATGGTACAAAGCTCACTGTGAGAGACAGATGTCTGGGGCTTCTTCACTCCATCCATGACCTTCAGTTGGCACCAGACACTGTGGTGCGTCTCGTCTTGTTAACATTTTAACAGGTGAGAGATGGCTAAACAACAGTTCTCTCAGACCTGTAGATTGCTAATAAGTGTCACAAAATACACACCAGAGCTCAGGTGCAGATCATTAAAAGGGAAGCAAGAATGGGAGGAATAATGACATGTCAATCTACCTCAAATCAAGTTTGACACTCCCATGATACTAGTTAGCACCATGCACAGGGAGCTTTGCCTTCTGTTCTTTCGAACTTGAACCAGGAGCACAGCACTGGAACTTATTTCCAGATGCTTTTGGTTAAACTTTGAGCCCCTGCTCAGATTAAGGAAGAAAAGAAGAACATTCAGAATTTCATTTTTTTTCTAATAAAGGTTTAAGTGATCTAGTCAAGCACTGTGAACTTTAACTAATAGTTTCATGCTACAGTAATGGCACCTATTATTTGAATTCATTTCCCATACTGACAGCACAACTCAGGCGTACTCCAGACTATGACATTTTAAGTGACTAGTGATTTTCAGTTGTGCTTCCTACAGTACACTCATATAAACTACAGAGTGGAATATACACACATCTCTGTGCCTATGTGTCTATGTAGACTACAGCTCATACTACTTTTATTTTTTCTGCTATATAGAGAAATATATACTTTAAAAAGTGCACTATCCTTGGAATATAAGTGTTTTTCCATGCTAAATTTAATCAAAAAAGGAAATACTTGAGATATAAGACAAAAATTCCAAAGCTTTCATTGCTTCAGTAAAGCTGCTGCTATTCTATCCTTTATCCTTATCGACTGCATTTTATAATCTACAGAAATGAAGAATTGAAAATAAATAGGAATTGTACAGAAAATTAGTCAGACTTTTTTTAGTCAATCATTCATGTCTCATAGCTACCACACTATTCGTCATCTAGTTTGTATGTGGTAATTCTTACACATAAAAAAACAGGTCACAAACTTCCCCCTCTATAGCACTCCAAGCAGAGGTATAACTATAATTTGGAAAGCTATACCTCTGAATGGGAAGAGACTTTTTCTTGCTGCTGCTTATGCAGTGTTACTTGAGGTGCATAAAATTGGAAGCTGATTACAGACAATTCACAGAAAAATGTGACAGGAAATACCTCATGTTTCTTTTCTTCTTTCAGCTCACAAATGCATAGTTGGAAATTTTGATTCAAACTAGGGCAAGGTTAGGAAAAGGAGTCTGAAATTTGTCTGTGTTCCCCACATGGCTTGGAAATCCAGTCCAATTGCCTCCTTTGTATGAGGCAAAGCTTGGCTTCAGCACGTGTTATTCTGATGCTTCATTATGCCTTGGCAAGACCACTTCACAAGGATGTTTACTTTGAGTTAATTTTACTTAAGGGATAAAACCTACAACTGAAAAGTTGACAGCTTGTTTCTCCTGAATTTAAGATATGGAATCATGTTAACACTCAAGTATTGCCACTGACTTGAAGCTGACCTAGAAACCAGACCGTAGACATTATTTATAACCATGGAACAGAGACCAAAGTAGCTCTTTGGAATGACCAGTCTATCCATTTAGTAATTAATGTCTTTTCTTTTTAATGAGTTTTGCAAAAAATGAAATCCATACATTTTTAAAAAATTATATTTTCTTTAAAAATACACCTTTTCAGGCAGTGTGATATTAATAATATCTCCATACCTCAGAAGGTGAACTAGCATTATTCATCTGTCCTATTTCCAGTCATGTTATAAAAATAAATTAGATAATGTGAATATGTTTTCCTTTTTCTGTCATGTCTGTTATGAACTCCTATTTATACTCCTCACACAATTGTGGGTGAAGTTTTTATTTTAATTTGAGGTGGAGGTGTTTGTTTGGATTTTTGTTGTTGTTGGCATTTTGAGAATTAGGGGAAGTTCCTGAGAAGTACAAATTAAACTTTTCCTAGATCCACCTTTACAGAAATCTTGTCAATGTTCAAAATCAGCAAAACCTAACTTCAATAAATGGTATTAGGTTCTCTGTAGTGCTGAAGTCAATAGCTCTCTTGTAACAGTGTTATAGTTTAAGCACTGCTGCAGGCCTATACTAGTCTGGAACACGGGATCAAAGAGATAAAAGCACAGTGACAGGATCTCTTTCACTTTATATTCTGCCACTCTAAGTTCGATTCTCAGTGACATTTTGTCATTGATTTTTTTTAATATATCTTTTGCATCAATGTTTTTTCAGGAACCTCCTATAAGGAAGATGACATCAGAACAAGTTAAGAGCATGTGTGCCTAATGCATGAAAGACTGTGGGACGTTTATCCACCACCTCTATTAAAGATCTGTAAGCAGTGTACTGAAAGAAAGATCTCTATATTCAATCGACTGAATATTTCTGTGTCATCAAGCATTAAAGGTAAAAGTTTTTCATTCAAGAATAACAAAACAGTACCTATCAAAGTACAATCCTCAACCAGATGAATTCTGTGGCAAAACTAACATGTCAAAACAAACATTGATCTAACCAGTTCAGACTTCGTTCAGACTTATTCTGACTTATTCTGACCAGTTCAGACTTAGTTCAGTCTACTGTAAGATATTACAAGTCGTATTTTGAAGTGAGTGGGTGACTCTCATTGTAACTTCTTGTCCAAAGCTGCATGATGTACATACTTTTTCCCCAAAGCTCAGCATATTCACTGCTGAATACTTCAGAAATCTGGCTATTTTTTGGGTGAAATAAATAAAAGATGAACTCTCTTTAAAAAGCTCTTCTTACATACCATAATAAAAAAAAAAAGTTATACAACTTGTGCTTTTCATTGCTTCCAATCTTATGTAGATGGCTAGGAAACTAAATAAGAGTACAGAACTCAACATAAACAATTGACAAGTTTAAAATATGTTATTATGAAAAATGCTGATGTTCAACTAGTTACTTTTTGCTGTGCTTTAGAAAGGAACTGGGACTTGAAAAAAAAAGTCACAGAATATACAGAATGGATAGAAAGCAGAAATGGACCTGGGGGTGCTGATCAACAGCTGGCTGAACATAAGCCAGCAGTGTGCCCAGGTGGCCAAGAAGGCCAATGGCATCCTGGACTGTATCACAAATAGTATGGCAAGCAGTACTATGGAAGTGTTCTATTGTATTCGGCACTGGTGAGCCTGCACCTCAAGTACTCTGCTCAGTTTTGGGCACTTCAATTGAGGAAGGACATTGAGGTGCTGGAGCATGTCCAGAGAAGGGCAACAAAGCTGGTAAAGGGTCTAGAGGGTAAGTCCTATAAGGACTAGCTGAGGGAGCCAGGCTTGTTTAGCCTGGAGAAGTGGAGGCTCAGACCTTATCACTCTCTACAACTACCTGAAAGGAGGTCGTAGGCAGGAGGATGTCAGTCTCTTCTCCCAGGCAACTTTCAACAGGACAAGAGGGTGTAATCTTAAACTGAGCCAGGAGTGGTTTATCTTGGATATTAGAAATAATTTCTTCATAGAAAAGGCGATTAGATAGTGGGATGGGCTGCCCAGGGAGGTGGTGGATTCACTGTCCCTGGAGGTGTTTAAGGAAAGACTGGATGTGACACTTAGTGCCATGGTCTAGTTGACAAGGTGGTGTTTGGTCCTAGATTGGACTCAGTGATCTCAGAGGTCTTTTGCAACCTAATTGATACTATGACTCTGTAATATTAAGTCTTCTGATGTCAGGTTGTATATCTGCAAACACATTCAGCTTCCATCTATGTAAGTACAAATCCATCCTACCTATCTACTCAAAAATGAGCAGATGATTTCCAGAAAGAAATTTGGACTTCAGGAGAACTGAATATTCTGTTGGGGGTTTTTACATCACAATGGAAAAATTATGAATAAAGGGACAACTAAATCAGAAATTGGCAGCGTAGATATATTGGTTAAGTGCCTAAAATCAAGAACGAATGAAATGGAGACCAGTCTGGTTCCCTGAACACTTCATTATTCACACAAACAATCTTTACAGGAGAAGCTAAGTCTGGCAACCGACTTAGGCTGTAGCTGACTCTTCCACAGTTCAAGTGAAATCCATGGACACTGAACTACAGACCATTCCGGAAATTCTCTCCCATGGCATAAATTTCATCCACCCACAACATCTAAATTTAAAAAGTACAAGTAATTTAAAATTACATACTTTCACACAAGGTTTTTCTTGAATCACTTTAGATTGAAGACACATTATTAAAAAAAATTCTGAAATTTCTTTTTCTCATTAAATATGCAGTTACTCTACACAATCAGATCTTGCTTTACAAGCTATAGCCAGAAGCCCCATGATTGGAAAAAGGGAGTAAAGCCGACAGTCTCTAGGAGGACTGAAGTCAGTTAAATATTAGAACCAAGTACATTATGTTCCCAAAGAAAACCATGTCGTACACATGGAACTTTTTCATCCTGAAACATAAAAAAACCCGCCTGATGCAATAATTGAAGAAAGAGCCTCTCTTTAGATACATAAAATCATGATTCATCAAAAAATAACTGGTGAGAACAATGTAAGAAATATAGCTGGGAAATATCAGTAGTAGAATGAACATTGTATTTGGCCCAGACTGAACTGGAAGAAGACCTATTACACTCATTAAAGATGATTGTCAATAATTTTTTAACAAGTTGATGAAAGAATTAGAGTTAGTAAAATTAGCTGACAGTTAAGTCTGGATGTCCTAGGCCCAAGTAATAATGCACTGGAAAGTAATTATATAAAGACAAATACAAAAATTTGTCATTATTATTTGTCATATATTTGTCATTAGATCTAAGCCAATGTCTTGTGCCTCAACTGCTGTGCATACTATATATTTCTATTACAAGTTTGTCTGTACAGAGTTCTCACTCAGCTCTGAAAATGTAGTTTTCTTGCCACTTTTTTTTTTTTATTCAAGGATAAATGTATTTGTTATGATCAGTTCAAGGAAAGTCCTATTTCTTACAGAGATAGTATACCAACATGTCTCAGCAGAAAAATACAAGCCTTCCTTACCTCACGAGCCATTTTTTATTTATTAATTTGAGTTTGTGCTTGTACCATTTGTACTACCATTCGTATGGTGGTGATATCTCACAACTTTCTATATCAGTAGGCGGGTCCCTTTGGCACCACAATCCACTATTTTCTTTCAGAAGACAAGTAGTAATATGAAGCAATATAAACTTTTTTTTTTCAATAAACAAAATATTGGCAATGTAACCAAACTACTATATGTGAAACCTGCTGTGCAAGTGGACAGCAGAAGCGGCTTTTGTAGATCCCATAAAATCCTTTCAGATGCCTTATTTACAATAACATTATAAGCAAGAATGTTGCAGATGTGGTGGTTTCAGCATGTAAGAGACAGGAGGATAGGGATTCATGTCATTGTAACATACAGAATGTAAACATTTAAGTCTTTAGCCTTCCTTCCTTAAAGTTAAAGGTGAAAAAAGGCCTCCAGAAGTAATTCCTCCCATCTGCCCTAAATGCCTCCTTTAGGATAAGGTAAATTCCCCTTTGGAGTTGTTTACTTTTACAAATGCAATTTACAGAGGGTAATGCAGATATTGTAACCTAATCATGAAATCCTTATCAGAGAAGAAAGGGTTCTTAATCAATGCTAGTTGGGAGAAGTCACATATATATCTTCCAGTAAAATTAGAAAAAGCAGATGTCTAACCCTGCAAATGGACTTTGTGCCTGGAAGTGGACCTACATATTTTTTTGCTCCATAAACTGGCCTGAAAAGAGGTCTCTCCTTATAGACGTTGTGCTTTTACAGACCTTTATTCAGCTTCATAACACTTTCGGTTTCCACTGGATCTCTGGGTTCCTCTCTGTGTTGGCCAGGTGTCATGGTTAGGGCTTTGAACCCTGTACACTATGCAGGCTATGGTTAGTGTCAGAGTCTTCATACTAAGCTTAAAACCTTCTTTCTTTGCAGCACTTTTGCTTCCTTTCAGACAGGTTGTTTTGCAATGAAGAGTATTTTATGATTTTATATCTTACATTTGCATGTCTTTCCTGCTCAAGGAGATAATTCCAATACAGCTTAGGCATATTTTACTGAAGGATCCAAGAGCATTTATACTGGATCAGCCCAGATTTAATATTCTTCAGTGACTTTTTTCTTTTTCTGACTCAAAAGAACCAACAGCTTCATCATATGTTTACTTTAAATGCAAATGGAGGGGACAGGAGGAGGGAATTGAAAACAATTTTCCAAACCCTTGGGGATGTGTGATTATTACTGCTCTACAGCAGCCCCTGCTGGAAAAGGACACATGTCAACCCCATGCTCTGCCTGCTTCATAGCTGGTTAGTTGTGTTCCAGCACAGTAAGCAATGACATCGAGGTACACCAAAACCTGGAACTGGTTCTCTTGCCATCTGCATTGGGGTAGCAACTGCTCACTCTTATCACAATGAGGCCTGGATGCCAGAAGAATAAATAATGCTTATGATCCTTGTCTGACATATTCATAGCTTCAAACAATAAGGAAACTGAAAAATATTAGTGTAAGAGAAGCAAAGTGTAAGATAAAGCACTTGAGAAAAGCGTTACTTAAAGTACATGTCATGACTTAGCATCCAAGGAACATTTTTCACCAAGTGAAAGCATGATAAATTATGCTAGTACTGTTTTCTCTTCCATGTGGTTGCTGACAGATGTTTGGAAAAGAAAATCTTCCTTTCTGCTTGACCTTAAAAGCTGTATATTGTAGATTTATAATGCTAAACAGTAAAACAGTGCAACAAAAAAGGGAGTTCTTTTGTGATAGAAACAAAACACTTTTGCTTTGTTGCTCAGATTACATCGAAAAATATTACAAGTTGTTTGTCCTAATAATATTAATAACAATAACAATAAAAATTACAATAATAATAATACCACTTATCATTTGAAATGCATAACTAGAGTGGTAAAAAAAGCCATTGATTCCAACTTGTTTTGCCATACATCTGCAATGGAAAGAGGATTCTGCAGGCAGGTTGTGGTAAAAACATATCTATTTTCTCATATTTATCACCACATTTAATCCATTCTTCCCAAATAGCGGTGTAAAATGTGTACATTTCTAATAGGGGTAATATTCTCTCAGGGTTAGGCTGAGTGAAAAACAGTAGTAATAATTTACATGAAAGTGATTCATGTAATGGGGAAAGCTGAAGGAGGTGGGTGTGGGGAAGAGAAGGGATGGAACAAAGGAATACGTGAAACATAACACAGGAAACAAACTGATCTAAAGGCATGTAATGACTGATTATTTTTGCACTAGGAAAACTTTCTTAAAGAGGAAGAGTGATTAAGTTTTAAACAATGGCAGACACAAAAATACAAGTAGCTTCAACAGGAAGAGCACCCTGCAATAAAAGACAAGTGCCTCTGGGTTACATCCATAGGGAGTTTCATGTCTTGGAGTTGTTGGAGAAGCAAACAGTATTTTTGTGTAATTTCTCAAGTTTAAGTGGACAATCAGATTTTTCTACATTTTAGGAGAAAATCACAGAGACGTCAGTTTTTTCACATTGATATGTAGTACACAGGCAACAGAGGCTTAGACAATAACTACACTGAGTAACACAAACAAAAAAACCAGTAGTAAGCTCAGGAAAACTAGAACTACAGAATATGTGGAGTTTGTCAAAATACAAATAATTTCCAGTGGAAAATATTTTCCTTTTTCCTTTTTTTTTTTAAATATAAATTTCAAAGAACAAATTGCTTCATTATGTTGCCAATAGTCACATCCTTATTTG